ACTGTACTGGGTTGTCGGTTCCTAGATGGTAGGGTCTGTGCCATAGATAGAGTAAGTGGAAGATAAATGATTATTGATGGAGTAAATTCATTAAGTAAAGAATGAAGAAGGTGAATGTGGGTGACAATGGGGTGTAGAGGAAATTTCATGTAATGGAAAAATGGGAAAACATTCATTATAAAAGAAGCCCCTAGATCATAACGTGGTGAATTGTGCTTGTTAGCTAAAGTTGAACAAATTCCAGGGACTTTAAAGCTTGAATAGGTAGGTTTAGGTCATTTCCTAAAAGAGGTATTTGGCTAAAATCAGGAAATCCTTCAAAGATTTATATAGTTTTTGGATGCTTGCTCCTGTTAATGTTTTCAAAAGGTGAGCTGTGGGAGACCAGGTGATATTTTTTCCTTTAGGACTGGTGCATGGAGGATTGATGTAGCGCCAGCGTGGTCCCCCTCAGTGTCCTGGTGAGAGATAAATGCCTGGATGGGGAGGGATCAGAGGCTGGCCAGGGGAGTGGTGCTGATGTTCCTGGGAGGGACGTGACCTTTGGGAGGCTGTGGTGGGAGTGAGGATATGTGGGATGAGGAGAGGGATTTGGAAGATCCATGAGAGTAACTGAAGAGATAGGTCATTTGGGGAATCTGGGAACTGGATGATCAGGTGTTGAATGGGGACTCTCCTGCTCCTTTTCCTTCTCCTCTTTTATCACCTCTTGCTTCCATTTCTCCTTTCCCTCTTCATGGCCTTAATCTTTTGTGTGGAATGATAAGAGACAAAGCAACCACCCCCTCCCCAAAGTCCTAGGAGGCAAAGAATTCTCTGTCATTGAGTTTATTCATTCATTCTTTCAGTCATTCTTGGCCCTGCTTTCAAGGGGCTCACAGTCTCATGGGAAATATGGGTGGAGGTAAGTCCCCACATTCCAGAAGAAGGCCCCTTCATTAGCCTTGAGTGGAAGGTCCTGGAAGGCTCTGGGGGAACAGATGTCTGTGCTGTGTTTTACTGGACAGTAGGAATTACTGCCCAGGAGGGTGGACAGGGAAATTCCAGGAAGCCTGGAGGAAGGAATACTTGTTAGGAGCCTGTTGAGATGAGAATAGAGGCTGAGGCTGACTCAGAAAAGGGGTGGGTGAGAGATTAGGGGAGGAGACTTGCTTGGTTGAGATCTCCAAGTTTTCTGCAGCAGGATGCCTGAGAAGACCTTGCTCATGCCACATGGATTTCTATGTTTTTGGCTGAGCCCAAGGAAAAGGAGACCAAATAGAAGTGCAGAACAATGGAGAAACCAGGTCACGGTCTTGTGGAGGGTGGTGAAGGCAGTTAAGAAAAGCCCAGAGTTCCACTCCTCTCAAAGGACTTTCTGCCTGACACTGCTGATTACACTGAAGTGGGTCCAGTGCGATCACAAGGGTCTTTCAATGTGAAGAGGCAGAAGGGTCAGTGTCAGAGTGATGTGATGTGCTGTGAGAAAGACTTGGCCATTGCATGTTTTGAATATGGAAGGAGACCACAGGCCAGAAATGTGGACAACATCTAGAGGCTGGAAAAGGCAAGGAAACAGATCCTCCCCTAGAGCCTCCAGAAAGAAATGTAGCCCTGCTAGCATTTTGATTTTGGCCCAGAGAGAACTGTGTTAGACTTATGACTTCCAGACTGGATGATAATGAATTTCTGATGTTAAAAAAATTTTTTTATTGGGGTATAGCTGTTTTACAATGTTGGGTTAATTTTACTGTACAGCGAAGTGAAGTAGAGTTCCCTGTGCTATACAGCAGGCTCTTATTAGTTATCTATTTTATACATATTAGTGTATATGTGTCAATCCCAATCTCCCAATTCATCCCCCCCCCACCAATTTCTGATATTTTAACCCACTAATGTTGTGGTAACTTGTTACAGCAGCAACGGAAAATTAATATACCTTCCCAATGTCTGAATTTCTTGGGGACTCTGTAGGAGGGAGGTCTCAAATGAAGAATTAAGTTCCCAGGTTAATCCTCCTTTATTTAAGTGTATCCACCAAAGAGCAGCTTTCGGTAATGCATGGAGAAAGAATGGACTCAGGATCCCACTGACCTAGGGTTGACTCTATTACATAGGGTATGTGTAATATTGGATAAGCTCTTTAGCCTCTCAGAGCCTCAATTTCCTCTTGTGGAAAAGGGATAACACTATTTCACAGACTTCTTGTGAGGAATAAGTTAGAAAACATATGCACCAACACTTAGGGCCATCAAGCTACTTACAGAATGTTAGTGCAATCTGAATCTGTTCAGGACTCATCTCCTTCATGAAGCCTTCCTGATTCCCCTCAGTTCTCCTTGTTCTATTTCCTTTCCTCTGTCCCCCCAGCACTCAGCCTCTGACTTGTACTTTTCTATGCATTGTGATTCAGTAGACAGAGTACTGCACAGAGACCCAAGAGACCTAGCTCTGTCCCTAACAAGATGTGTGACTTCAGGCAAGTCCCTGACCCTCTTTGGCCTCACATTCATCATCTTTAAAATGGGAAAGTTAGACTAGGAATCAGTTGAGTCCATTCCAGCTCTGACATTTGGTGATACTATACATGTGATCATGAATAATTAGCCTGGTATCTACATGACTTTGAAGTGTGTGCACACATATGTGTGTTGTGGGCTCTTCTTCCTTGATTAGGTTATAATCCACCCACAGGAAGACACAGTTTTCCATCTTCTGCATGTGGCAGTGACCTAGCCAGGTGGCTGAGTGACCTAAGGTGACCTGTCTTTTCCTTGGTGCAGAGATGGAGTATTTGGGGTCTGAGCCCTCAAAAATCAACCAGTATCTGGGCCTGGGCTGGGACAGCTTTGGGGAGATTATTCCACCCCACATCTTAAGATAAGGTGACTCAATAATTTCTCTAACCATCCCCAGCCCTCCAGAGAGATTTGGGACAATCTGATTGAATACCACCTGAGATTTAAGATTTTAGATTTCTACAGCTGTCGTTATTGGGAACCAGGGTGTAATTACACAGGGTCAGCAGAAGAGAGTCAGGTGTGTGCAGGACATTGCTTTGTCCCCCCCATTCCCATCAAATAACTATCTCCAGGGCTTCCCTGGTGGCGCAGGGGTTGAGAGTCCGCCTGCCAATGCAGGGGACACAGGTTCGTGCCCCGGTCCGGGAAGATCCCACATGCTGCGGAGCGGCTGGGCCTGTGAGCCATGGCCACTGAGCCTGCACGTCCGGAGCCTGTGCTCCGCAACGGGAGAGGCCACAACAGTGAGAGGCTCGCGTACCGCAAAAAACAAAAAAACAAAACCCCCGCCAAAAAACCTATCTCCTTTGTTCAGATCATAAAAGTTCCCAGACAGACTCCTCTGATTCACTCGGCTGGCCCAGTCAGCATATTACAGGACAATGGCTCTGATAAAGCTGAATGGTGAAGAATGTGGCCCGTCTCGTTTCCTGGGGAGTAGGTACCTCTGGAGAGCTTTTGGAGCTTGTGGGTTCCTGGGGCAGAGCCCACGTCTCCTTTTACTTCCTTTCCTCCAGTGTCACCCACGCAGAGAGTTTGAATCAGAGGTTGTGGGAATGGCTCTGAATCACAGGCCACAGGCCCAGAGGGGACATGAGAGGCCGCTGGACTCCACCTGCTTGTTTTAGCCCAGCATGTGCTTTAAACAGGAGGTGTGGAATCATTTATTGACTGCATTTTTTAAGATAAGGAAACAGCGGCAAGAGTGCTAAGAGTCTTCATCAAGGTCACATGGTGACCTCGTGTCTGAACTAGAGGCTGGTCCATGTAAAAACATTTAGGAAAATACTGTATTCGGGATTCTTTATAAACTTCAAGGAGGCAACAAAGATACAGGGTCAGCAGTTCTCAACATTTTTGGGGTGATGAGGAAATATTCATAGGTACATGTCTTCACCTTCAGGAGGTTCACGGCCCCCAGGTTAAAGACCACTGACACAGAAAATGGGGAGAAACGATGTTCCTAAATTGTTTGGGCTTGATGTTGGTCTTCAATCCTTTTACCTTTTGAGTCTGGGTCCTGGGTCATCTTGGCCTAAATTTGGGTTAGAAATCCTGAACTCTTCTAACAACCAACTCACTGTGCCATTGTTGCTTAAATGTTAAGTTGTTTCCCTCCCTGGAGCTTCATTTCCTCACCTGCGCACTGAGAGCCTATTAAATGCCACACCCCAAAGTCAACTTCTGGCTCCTACCATAATTCGTGGTCTCCTGGGGCCTAGCTGGAGAAACGGCCTTCAAAATCTTGCCTTCGAAGATATTTGTCTTCCTTCTCTATAACTCTCCCTTTCTCCCTCAGACCCACTGCCTCACACAGCAGATGGCAAGAAGCTCTTGTCACAGTAGGTGATGGGTGATGACTCCAGGTGCTGGCCTAGGTTCTTGAGTGCTCTTGCATCCTGGCTTTCTAAGTTCAATTTCCCCTGTGGGGGGCTTTACATATGTAATTTCACTTAGTTACTGCTCTCCAAACTTTGGAAGGACATTTTTTCTCATTCTTCATGTGAAGAAACTGTGACCCCTTCTTCCCCTGAGGTGAAACATCTTGTCTGGTCTACACAGCTGGGAGTGTAGAGCTCATTTTGAATCCATGTCTGTGGGATGATAAGCCTTTTCCTTTTACCATTTTGCCTTCCCAGGTGAGGCCAGGGGTAGGGCTGGCAGGGTCTGCATCTTGTGCCTGAGGGAAAGTGACCAAGACCAGGTGCCTTTCTCTCAGTCCCAGGCCACCCACATTCAGCCTCTTCCCCACTCCCCACCTCTGGATTCTGGGAATGACTCCATTGAGTGAGAGTAAGGAGCACAGAGGACAGGGGCTCAGCCCAGAGCAATCCCCTCCTCTTTGGAAAGGTGCCTCCAAAGCCACTGAGAACTCACTCATTTATTATTATTGAATGTCTGATGTGTGTGCCAGGCCATCTCTGTTCTCAAAAAGCTCGCAATCCAGTGTAAATGGATAACCAGATCATGGCGTGGTAAGTATCACAGGAGAGAAAGGCTCTAAGACCACAGAAAGGGGCCTTTAACCAGCCTGCGGGTGGAAGGTGGGGGCAGCTTCTTGGAGCAGGTGACCCCTGAGTTGGCCTCAGAGACGACAACTTGTCGAAGTGGATCTGTCAGAGGAGGATTCAGGGGAAGAAGGAAGGATGATGGAGGAGAAACAAGTGTAAAGTAACGAAGGCCAGCAGCTCTCTGCTGTGGGCTAGGAAATATGCACAATTACCTGTTGTTGGGCTTCAAAGTTCTAGAAGGAGGCAGAGGATTGGTGAGATAAACCTAGAGGAGAGGCGGGGCCAGATCCTGAGGAATTTTACATGACAGGTTAAGTCATTCTAGATGTTCTTTAGACAGAGGAGCCTTTAAGGGTTTTAGGCAAGAGAGTGACATGCTTAGATTTGAGTTTGGGCAAGACTTCCTTGCTTGCTTCTGCTGGAGGAAGGGCTAGAGGAAGGGGAACTTGAGGCTTCAGAAGCCAGTGAGGAGGTTCCGAGTGGTGAGGTGAGAGAGGATGAGAGCATGTCTGGTGGAAAAACCCATGAAGCCTCAGTCTGAGCAGAATTTTCTCTGAGCTTGGGAGAGAACATGGAGCTCTCGAGGTGAGACATGTGAGGTTTCCTGCACCTGGAAGATGGGTTCAGCTGAAAATACCCCAGTATGTATTTTACCATCAGTTTGTATCTTAGAATCCCTGTGTTTGGCAAATGACTTTCTCTATTTACTGATCTGTTTGCTGAGCATCAACAGCTGTAAAGTAGAAGCAGTTATGACTTGTCATCATCAATAAAGCCTCCCAGGAAGAGCCTGTGCTCCTGCCCCTGGCTGGAATATTTGGTCATGTGAAAGCAGGATCGGAAAATAGCCCAGTTTTGGTAACTGGTTACTTCCTGCCATCTCCCCAGTTCCATCTATGTGGTGGTGGGGGATTTGTGAACATGATCTCTAAGGTTCATTCCAGTTTGAGAGCTTCAAAGCTAAACATCCCTGTGTTCTGTGCCCACCCTTTCATAACAGTGGCTCACCTTACCAGTCACCCCCAGCTGGCTTTGTTGGGGAGGACTTAGAAGTGTTTTGAAGGCTGGTTGTACGCTCCCTGGTTCTTGGGAATGTGTGATGCAAGAGTCCCCTCTTGCCGCCATCCTAATGGACCCTGAGAACTGCTTTCCCATAAAAGTGGAAGGCTTGGTCCTGGCCCCTCACATTATCTGTGAGCCATCAGCCTGGCACTGCACAGATTCTCATGGTGCCACCCTTCAGGTGTTACTCCCAAGCCCCAGCAGCAGTCAACTATCCCAAAAGGAGGTGGGTGACCGCCACTGGGGCTTGAGAGTAATTATGGCATTCTGCAGGGAGCTGGCACACTCATCACATTCTAGCTGTCTTCCTGCACATTGCATTTGATCCAGTTTTTTTTGCTGGGAAAGTAGCCATTAAGAGATGTCTATCTTTGGTTTCATTTACATAGGAGAAAAGAGAACTAAATTGGCAAATGGATGGTTTCTTCTTCTCAGAACTGCCCTCCACCCAGTCTGTGCCGAGTCCTCGGAGCCCCCTGGGAGAGCACCAGCCCCTGACCAACACCGCGATGGAGCTGCTTGGCTGTGGGACTGTGATCCTATCCCTTGGAGGCAGGCACCCAAGTAGGAGTGCCTTCTTTTATACATGCACGTGCTCAGGTGGAGGAAGACATTCTTCCTTCTTTTCTGTATTTTTGTTCATTGAGCAAATGAAAGGACTTAGAGGGTCTCGGAAGTATTCATGATTATATCATTTTTTCCCCATTACAAAAGAAATAAAAGACTACCAATAAAAATTTGGAAAATAAAAATACTTCACTGGTTACCCATACTCCATTGTCCTAAAATGACTAGAATGTTGAAAAATTTCCTTTATTATTATTATTCACAGAAATTTTTGGTTAAACATAGTTGTCTATGCCATACATTCAATTGGGACCAGGAGGCACCTCTCTGCAGGACCTTGTAGTGTGCTCCATTTCTTTCCAGGAGACCCTGAGACCCCAAGGCTCACATGTCAGAGAAAGCAACTAGTAGTTTTCACAACTGAAAAATGAGGGAGTTGCACCCTAAAAGGCCTTGTCTAGCTCTTGTGCCCTAAAAGTTCTTCTGCAACCAGGATATTGTATGACCTTGGTTTGGTGGGGGTCCCAGGTATCTTTTCCTGGGCACAGTCTGAATTATCTGTAGTTATTGTACCTTCTGCTGTCCTGAACAATTTTTCCAGACTCAGAAGGATGGAAAGGTGTTTATGGGCCATGATTCCAAAGGGAGTATCTCAGATATGCCTTCTTTCTTATTTTTTAACATCTTTATTGGAGTATAATTGCTTTAAAATGGTGTGTTAGTTTCTGCTGTAAAACAAAGTGAATCAGCTATACGTATACATATATCCCCATATCCCCTCCCTCTTGTGTCTCCCTCCCACTCTCCCAATCCCACCCCTCTAGGTGGTCACAAAGCACTGTGCTGATTTCCCTGTGTGATGCAGCTGCTTCCCACTGGCTATTTTACATTTGGTAGTATATATGTCCATGCCATGCTCTCACTTCGTCTCAGCTTACCCTTTGCCCTCCCTGTGGCCTCAAGCCCATTCTCTACGTCTGTGTCTTTATTCCTGTCCTGCCCCTAGGGTCTTCAGAACCATTTTTATTCTTAGATTCCATATACATGCGTTAGCTTACAGTATTTGTTTTTCTCTTTCTGACTTACTTCACTCTGTATGACAGTCTCTACCTCAATCCACCTCACTATATATGTGCCACATCTCCTTTATCCATTCATCTATGGATGGACACTTAGGTTGCTTCCATGTCCTGGCTATTGTAAATAGAGCTACAATGAACATTGTGGTACATGACTCTTTTGGAATTATGGTTTTCTCTGGGTATATGTCCAGTAGTGGGATTCCTGGGTCGTATGGTATTTCTATGTTTAGTTTTTAAAGGAACCTCCATACTGTTCTCCATAGTGACTGTATCAATTCACATTCCTAAGAACAGTGCAAGGGTTCCCTTTTCTCCTTTTCTCACCCTTTCCAGCATTTATTGTTTGTAGATTTTTTGATGATGGCCATTCTGACTGGTGTGAAGTGATACATCATTGTAGTTTTGATTTACATTTCTCAAATGATTAGTGATGTTGAGCATCCTTTCATGTGTTTGTTGGCAATCGGTATATTTTCTTTGGAGAAATGTCTATTTAAGTCTTCTGCCCATTTTTGGATTGGGTTACTTGGTTTTTTGATATTGAGCTACATGAGTTGCTTGTATGTTTTGGAGATTAATCTTTTGTCAGTTGCTTCATTGGCAAATATTTTCTCCCATTCTGAGGGTTGTCTTTTGGTCTTGTTTATGGTTTCCTTTGCTGTTCAAAAGATTTGAAGTTTCATTAGGCCCCTTTTGTTTATTTTTGTTTTTATTTCCATTTTTCTAGGATGTGGGTCAAAAAGAATCTTGCTGTGATTTATGTCGTAGAGTGTTCTGCCTATGTTATCCTCTAAGAGTTTTATAGTGTCTGGCTTTATATTAAGTCTTTAATCCATTTTGAGTTTATTTTTATGTATGTTGTTGGGAGTGTTCTAATTTCATTCTTTTACATATAGCTGTCCAGTTTTCCCAGCACCACTTATTGAAGAGGCTGTCCTTTCTCCATTGTATATCCTTGCCTCCTTTATCAAAGATAAGGTGACCATATGTGCGTGGGTTTATCTCTGGGCTTTCTATCCTGTTCCATTGATCTATATTTCTGTTTTTGTGCCAGTACCATACTATCTTGATTACTGTAGCTTTGTAGCATAGTCTGAAGACAGGGAGCCTGATTCCTCCAGATCCGTTTTTCTTTCTCAAGATTGCTTTGGCTATTCGGGGTCTTTTGTGTTTCCATACAAATTGTGAAATTTTTTGTCCTATTTCTGTGAAAAATGCCATTGGTAGTTTGATAGGGATTGCATTGAATCTGTAGATTCCTTTAGGTAGTAGACTCATTTTCACAATATTGATTCTTCCAATCCAAAACTTTGTGTATCTCTCCAACTGTTTTTATCATGTTTAATTTCTTTCATCAGTGTCTTATAGTTTTCTGCATACAGGTCTTCTCTCTCCTTAGGTAGGTTTATTCCTAGGTATTTTATTCTTTTTGTTGCAATGGTAAATGGGAGTGTTTCCTTAATTTCTCTTTCAGATTTTTCATCATTAGTGTATAGGAATGCCGGAGATTTCTGTGCATTAATTTTGTATCCTGCTACTTTACCAAATTCATTGATTAGCTCTAGTAGTTTTCTGGTAGCATCTTTAGGATTCTCTATGTATACTATCATGTCATCTGCAAACAGTGACAGCTTTACTTCTTCCTTTCCGATTGGGATTCCTTTTATTTCCTTTTCTTCTCTGATTGCTGTGGCTAAAACTTCCAAAACTATGTTGAATAAGAGTGGTGAGAGTGGGCAACCTTGTCTTGTTTCTGAACTTAGTGGAAATGCTTTCAGTTTTGCACCATTGAGAATGATGTTGGCTGTCGGTTTGTCATATATGGCGTTTATTATGTTGAGGTAAGTTCCCTCTATGCCTATTTTCTGGAGGGATATTTATCAATTTTCTTTTGAATTTTGTCAAAAGCTTTTTCTGCATCTATTGAGATGATCATATGGCTTTTCTCCTTCAATTTGTTAATATGGTTTCTCACATTGATTGATTTTCAGGTATTGAAGAATCCTTGCATTCCTGGGATAAACCCCACTAGATCATGGTGATCCTTTTAATGTGCTGTTGGATTCTGTTTGCTGGTATTTTGTTGCGGATTTTTACATCTATGTTCATCAGTGATATTGGCCTGTAGTTTTCTTTCTTTGTGACATCCTTGTCTGGTTTTGGTATCAAGGTGATGGTGGCCTTGTAGAATGAATTTGGGAGTGTTACTCCCTCTGCTATATTTTGGAATAGTTTGAGAAGGATAGGTGTTAGCTCTTCTCTAAATGTTTGATAGAATTCGCCTGTGAAGCCATCTGGTCCTGGGCTTTTGTTTGTTGGAAGATTTTAAACCACAGTTTCAATTTCAGTGTTTGTGATTGGTCTGTTCATATTTTCTATTTCTTCCTGATTCATTCTTGGCAAGTTGTGCATTTCTAAGAATTTGTCCATTTCTTCCAGGTTGTCCATTTTAGTGGCATAGGGTTGCTTGTAGTAATCTC